ATTGGGAAGGAAGAACTAGAACTATCTCCATTTGAAATTGCTAGGCTCTTATGTAGAGTTCCTAAAGAATCCTCTGAAATACCTATAAAAACTAATTATAGCTGAGCAACATGAATCACACCTATATTCCTAGCTATACAGGAGTCTGAGATCTGAAGATCAAGGTTCAAAGTCAGCCCAAGCAAGAAAGTCCATGAGAGTCTTATCTCCAATTAACTAAAAAAAGCCTGAAGCAGAGTTGTGGCTCAAGTGGCAGAGTATTAGCCATGAGCAAAAAGAGGGCCCCAGTTTAAGCCCCAGGACTGGCAAACACATGCAAGCAAACACACACACACACACACACACACACACACACACACACCCCTCCCTAATTATAAATGAATTCAATAATGCAGAAGCATAACAGATCATAATACAGTAAAAAAAAAAAAAACCTGTATTCCCATATACTTAGAGTGAACAACTTCACTTATAATAGCACCAAAAATAATAAAATAGCCAGGCCAAGTGGCACATACTTGCAATCCCACCACTTGGGATTATATATAGCATAGGCTGGCCTTAAACTCAATTAGACACATGAAAAGACGCTCAAACAACATCATTAGCGTCAAGATGCAAATGATACTACGTATGCACTAATAAAACTATACTAAAAAAGACTGATAGGAAGTTATAATGAGGATGTAGAAAAATTGGAACCCTCTATACTGCTAGTAGAAACTGAAATGGTGTAATAAAATAAAATGGAAAACGATTTGGCCATTTCTCAAAAGGATAAGCACAGGGTCACCTAGCAATTCCACTTCCAAATAAACACTAAAAATATATCCACACAAAAATTGGACAAAAATGCTTGTAAGTGGACTATTCATAATACTAATATTTAAAATAAGCCAAATGTGCCAGTGACAAATGGATCAAAATATACATACGTATGTGTGTATATAAAGCTGGGGATAGCTCAGTGGTAGTATACCACCAAAAAAAAAAAAAAAAAGGGAATATATGTCAGGCACCGGTGGCTTATGCCTGTAATCCTACTACTTAGGAGAGTGAGCTCTGAGAATCCCTGTTCAAAGCTAGGCTGGGCAGGAAAGTCTGTGAGACTCTTACCTACAGTTAACCACCAGAAAAACCAGAAGTGGAGCTGTGAGTCAAAGTGGTACACTGTTAGCCTTGAGTGAAAAAGATCAGGGATAACACCTAGGTCCTGAGTTAAAGCCTCATGATCAAAAAAAGAAAAAGAAAAGAAAAGAAACAATCAGGGCCCCGGTGGCCCATGCCTGTAATCTTAGCAACTCAGGAGGTTGATATCCAAATTGGCTATTAAAACCAGCCCCAGCAGACAAATCCAAGATCCTCATCTCCAATTAACCATCAAAAAGCCAGAATTGGAGGTGTGGTACAAGTGCTAGAGCACAAGCCTTATCAGAAAAGGTTAAGGAAGAGCTCAAATCCCTGAGTTCAAGTCCCAGTTTTGGGAGGGAGGGTGAAGATGAAGGAGGCAAAGGAGGGAGAAAAGGAAGAGGTTTTGTTGACATTGTTTAATTGTTTTTATCAAGCATGGGACTTGAACTGAGAGTCTGGGCTCTGACTTGGAGCTCTTTTTGCTCAGGCTAGTACTCTACCATTTTGAACCACAACACACTTCCCGTTTTCCAGTGGTTAATTGGAGATAAGAGTCTTATAAACTTTCCTGCCAGAGCTTTGAACTCCCAGCCTCCTGAGTAGCTAGAATTACAGGCATGAACCACTAGCACCCACCTTGTTTTTTTGAGAGGAGATTTGCTATATAACTCTGAATGGCCTGGAACTTGCTATGTAGGGCAGGCTTGAATTTACAATCCTCAGTCTTGGGAGTGTTGGGATTACTGGCATAGGAAACTAAGTAGACATCATTAACGCCTAAAAAAAAGCCCAGCTGTCCCAAGGATGAAGAAAATGAATGACACAACATACTTAAGGAGAACACTCCTCCTACCTCATTAAAGTAGGAAAGACAAAGAAGGTCAAATAGGAAGGTCAAAGAGTGCTTTCCCATACTCAGGTTTAGGATCCAACACCCAGCAGCCTCTGCCCAATGGCCAAGCCCTTTGGGGGAGGGCCTCAAAGGGAAACTCCTGATTTTGTACCACCTATTCTCCAAAACTATTAGATTAAAACCCCAACAATTTCTAAAGAGGCAAAACTCCCAAAACTTACCAAAACTCCCCAGCTAATCCCTGGAAGCATGCTTTTCTTTTCCTAAAAAAAAATCATTTTTTGCTATCTGCCTATTTTTTGTGGTTCTCCTGCTGTATCTGAGCATTATCCTAATTTTAGGCATTGTACCCAAGAAACACCTGGATCACCTGTACCACCACAGCTGGCACAGATATATGGGTTAGAATCTTTGCCTATTTACCCACAAGGGAACATCAAAAATTTACTAAGAAATTACAATATTTATTTAAGGTAAAGAAAAATAACTACAATACCCTGCATCTTGTATATACATATGTCTAATCTGGGGAGGGGAAGGGGAATAACAAAACACTGAAACAAGGACACAGGATGACCCATTGCAACAAAGATACCTACTGGATAGTATATTGGAAATGAACTTTACAACTTCCAGCAGAGAGGAGGAGAGGGGGGATAGGTTGGGAGCTGGGAGAGGGAAGGGATAATGGGACAACAACAAGGAAGGGAAGGGGTAATAATGATGGACAAGTAATGTGCTTATTGCCTTACTTACTGGTGTAACTGTAACCCCTCCGTACAACATCTTAACAATAAAATTTTTTTAAAAGAAAGAAAAATAACTCCAATTCTGTACTAGTGGAGAAGGGGAGTTGTATAATTCAACTCAAATTTTAAAACCTATTTACAGCTGGGCACCAGTGGCTCACAGCTATAAACCTAGCTACTTCAGAGACTGAAATCTGAAGATACTAATTCAAAGCCAGCCTCAGCAGACAATTCGGAGACTCAACTCCATTTAACCACCAAAAAGCCAGAATTAAAAACCAAAAACAAGCTGGGCGCTGGTGGCTCAAGCCTGTAATCCTAGCTATTCAGGAGGCTGAGAGGATCACAGTTCAAAACCAGCCAGGGAAGGAAAAGTCCAACAAAACAACAACCCCCCCCCACACACACACACAAAATGCTAGGTACCAAAGGCTCACACCTGTAATCCTAGCTATTCAAAAGGCTAGGATCTGATAATCAGGGTCCATTGCCAGCCTACGAAGGAAAGTCTGAGAGACACTTATCTCCACTAAACTACCAAAAAAAAAAAAAAAAAAGCCAGAAGCCAGGTGCAGGTAACTCATGCCTATAATCCTAGCAACTCAGGAGGCTGAGACCTGAGGACTGCGATTCAAAGCCAGTCCAGGTAGGAATCAAACTCATCTACAGTAAACCAAGAGAAAACCGGAAGTGGCTCTGTGGCTTAAGTGGTAGGGTGCTAGCCTTGAGCTGAAGAGCTGAGCAACAGCCCCCAGGCCCAGAGCTCAAGCCCCACGACCAACAACAACAAAAAAGCTGGAAGTGAAGCTGGGGCTCAAGTGGCAGAGTGCTAACCTTGGGCAAAAGAAGCTCAGGGAGGACAGTGACCAGGCCCTGAGTTCAAGTCCCAGGACTGGCACCAAAACAAACACAACTTGTAAATACTAGTTGAACTTTCTGCAATTTGTATGTAAAACATAACAGAAACTTTAAAAAAAATCTTCTGTGTTCTTTTATTTTCTTTGTAGCAGTAGTAGGGCTTGAACTCAGGGCCTAGGCACCACCCCTCTCTACCACTTGAGCCACAGCTCCAAATGTGGCTTCTTAATCGTTAACTGGAGATAAAAGTCTCACAGACTTTTCTATCTGGACTGTCTTCAACCTGTGATGCTCAGATCTGGCTCTTTTTTTTTTAATATATTTTTATTGTGAAAATACTGTACAGAGGAGTTACAATTACATGGACAAGATAATGAGTACATTTCTTATCAAGCATTGTAGCCTCCTCCTTTGTTTCCCCTTCCCATCCCTTCCCATCCTCCCCCCCCCACCAAAGTTGTAAAGTTCGTTTTTCGACATAATGACTTGTACATCTCATTGTTGCAATGGGTCCTCCTGTATCCCTGTTTTAACAATTTGTTTTTTCCCTTCCCCTCCACGTATACCAACATCATATATAGTGAAAGCAGGGGTTATACCATGGGGGAGGGACATACAAGGCAACAAAGACATAATCTTATAAATATGTTATAAACAATCGCATGAAAGATCTCTCTTTTTTTTTGTCAGTTGTGGGGGGCTTGAGCTCTAGGCCTGGGAACTGTCCCTGAACAATTCAGCTCAAGGCTCATGCTCAGATCTGGTCTTAAGAGGTTCTTTTGTTTGTTTGTTTGTTTGTCATGGGGCTTAAACTCTGGGCTTGGGTGCTATCCCTCAGCTCTTCAGCTCAAGGCAAACACTCTACAGCTTGAGTCACAGCGCCACTTCCAGATTCCTAATGGTTTTTATTGGAGATAGTCTCACAGACTTTCCTGCCTGGGCTGGCTTTGAACAGTGATCCTCAGATCTCAGCCTCCTGAGTAGCTAGGATTAAGGCATGAGCCACCAGCACCCAGCTTCTCTTATGGGGTTCTTATAGAGACATTTTGTAAGACATCTATACATACATGCTCCATAAATATAATTTCCAAAGCCTCTTAAATTCTATCTACTTCCTTGAATTGAGGGGAACTAGTCAAAGAAACAGCAAAGTTAAACATTTATTTTTTTCTGAAGGTTATATTATCAAGAACAAGATAAAGGAGATAAAACTAAAGTCACTTTCCCTGGAGAACTTATCAAAGAATTGAGCCTGAAAAGAAAAAAATTTCTATAAGCTTACACATTGTGATGAAATTTCAGGATTTGGAATTTTTGTTCTCCCAACTGAGGAAGTTTTAAACTTCAGGTTTGTGTGTCTTTTTTTTTTTTTTTGCAATGTAAAATAAAATGAAAAGGAAAATTGATACCTTAATCTTTTAACCATCAAGACAAATTTCTGATGCAGTTCAGAGCATCTTTTTGGCTGAAAAACACAAAACAAAAATAGTTAATGGCTATCATTTACTTATCAAGTGAGATACAAACTTTGTTGTTAAGGAAAAATAAATTTTTGTTTCAGAGTACATTGAGAGAGGTGAATGTACTTTAATAGAGCTAAGTTGTCACTTCATGCTTTGCAGACTACTGCTATGAGAATTAAGGGCTTCTCTTCCGTATTCTAATAGATGGGTAAAGTCATTTAAAAGATGAATTATTTCCGGAAGTACAAAAAGGTGCCATTATAAAACCACCAAAGTACTCTGTGACCACTAATGATAGGAATGTGGTATTTGGTAACTTGCCTTAATGACTTTTGTAAGCACCTCTAAACTTACTCAAGGACTGTTAGGTTTAGCAATTCCCCTCAAGTTGCTTTACAATCTGAGTCTACAACTCAGATCCTGGATCGTTGAATGGATACACCTATCCTCCGGAATTTCCAGGGAGAGCGCATAGTCGTATTTCTAAGTCATTTCTACTTTCCTTGTTTCACTTTAGTCTATTTCAAGAATACAATTCTGAAAGTGCCAAGCACAGCCAGTAAAACGTAGGAAGAGATGCACATGGCTAGACTGAATGGGACAAAAAGGCCAGTCTGCGAGGGATTCCCCAGCCCCAGTTCCTTTCCTCTCCGGTTCCTCCACTGTCCCACCCGCAAGGAGTCGGACCTCCCGCGCCAGCGGACCGAGGAAGGAAGCCCCCAGTCCGGAGGCCGGGCCCGCACCCGGGGATCCGCAGGAGACCTGAGCCCTGGGGCGGAAATGCAGCGGGGGTGGGCAGTTCCGTGACTCACCGCACCCGGGCCCGCGGCCAGAGCCAGGGCCTCATTCCGGCCCAGCTCCCGCCCCACCCCATCCCAGCGTCCCGCACCCCTTCCCCACCAGCTTCCTCCTCCGCTCCGCACACACCTGAGAGCTCCGCAGGAGGCGGGGGCGTCCTGCCCCCCCGAGATCCCAGCACGCCAGCCCGCCCCGCCTCTCCTCT